TTAAAATATTTTTTATAAAAATATAAAATTAGTTTGTTTTCCCCTCAACTTCTTTAATTTAATTAATATCTTATAATCTTTTATATATATAAGTATATATGTACGTATGTATCAATCTGTCAACTTTCAAACCCAGCTCGTGTCTACCCCCTCTAGTCTTGAGCTTCAAGTGATGATAAGCTTCATGAGCAATGGAGATATTATCTTGAATCATCCGGTCCTCAACAAAATCGTTCTGGTTTGGACATTTGTATTGTATGTTTGCTATTTCCTATTGGGTTTAAAATTTTGGACGCCCAACTGTAAAGAAATAAAATCTTGTCTTTGTATTGTATGTTTGTTATCATCTTGACCGTACAAATTATTTAGCGATCAAGAACGTGCCACGTCATTTAATGAATTTTTAATTCTTTAAGTTTTTTAATCCATCAGATCTAAACTCCTTACAGTCAACAACTCCCTTCCCTCGTCCTCCCTCATCTTCCTCCCTCTCACCGACATCCCTTTACATTTCTCCCCTGCCTCACCAAAATCAAATCAAATTGAGATTGAACCATGACATACACATGCAGTATGCAACAAATATAAATCCTACATAACAAACCCTAAATTAACCTCCCTCCGTACCCATCTCTCTCTCTCTCTCTCTCTCTCTCTCCTTATTATCACGAAGAAAAGCAAGCAAACAGTATCTATCTCGATCTGCTCCGCACGTAAGTATATGATTCATCAATCTGTCGAATGCTTAATCGGCTTAATTTGCTTTACTTTTATTTATTGTTTCCGTGAATTCATCACCTCTCCTTGCTTTGTTTGTTTGTTGTTGCCGTAAATATGCATCTAAATTAAATCCTGATTTGATTTTCGTTGTTAACTCGATCGACTGCATATTAATTTAGGTTTAAAATTCGTGCCTCCAGTCCACCCTTACCCAGGCAATTAACAAATTAAATATACTTCTTTTCCTATTATATTCCTTGTTGGAGAAGGATAGGGATTGTCATCCTCATTGATTTAGGGATAGTTAACTACAATTATATATATACAGATACACATACACATACATACAACACCTTCAGGTTGGAGTTGAGCCTGACAGCGACTCCTACGTACTACAGGTAATTATTACAGGTTGCTCGCTGATAGTGATACACACACCCACCAACCAAGGCACAAAGCATGAGCGGGAGATTAGCTGAAGTCCGGTTATACTTAGAGGGAAGTGGCACGGCAGCTATTGCTTTCGAAATACAGAGCATCAGCCACTCAACTGGTGCTTCCGAGTACTGTTTTTTAAGTACCAGTGTGAATCAAATAGAAGATGTATGAATCTCATTAGACTCAATTACCAGGGACAGGTTCAAAATCGGTATAGATTATCAAAAGATAACTCGAGTCTTCGTTGGTGAGCATTGTCCAGTATTACTTCCTTATGCTGATACATATCACCTCCTTGCTGAGAGGAGTTTCCATGTCCCTATGCGTGATGTCAAGCAATTTTCATCAAGGCCTAAATGGACGCATGTCTTGGCTTATCATCTTTCCAAGATGGGTGTCCCACAAGGTGCGCAGCCAGCTCTCATTGTAAGCATACTTGACTACATTGAAGAGGCCGACAACGACAGCTTTGAGTTGCCTATTCTTGTGCATATTGTGGATGGCACTTATCACATTCTGAGGTCGGACCACGACAACGACATCCTTGATAGGGTTATGAGGCAATCCTCGGAAGCATACATGGCCATGCTTATTCCTGCAGCTCAGTCATCCATTCAGGGCTTGGAGAATGTGAGGCTTGATGATCCTACTTTGGGCCCGCTGTCCTCATGTATTATTTGTATGGAAGGCCTCCTCCTTGATCATCATGATGATCATCACTCTGATAATATTAATGCCGTCCGTGCTTCTCAAGATGAAGATGATCATCATGATCAAGATCAAGGTCAAGGGGTTGATTGTCGCCATCCACCAATGACGATCAAACGCTTGCCCTGCTTACACAAATTTCATGAAGATTGCATCGTCCCGTGGCTGCAGATCAATCACTTGTGTCCCCTGTGCCGATACCCGCTGGAAGTGCGCGAGTCATCAAAACCCAAACGAAGGAGATTATCATGAAATAATGAAAGAAGACCTGCAGCCATGATGATCAGCTGGAACAATGTATGGTAAGAAGTTAATTAATTGTTGTATTGGCTACGGACTCGCTTATTTCTATTTCTTTATTTTGAGGGTAGGGTTTTCATATCCTAGTGATTATGCTGCTCATCAATGAGAAAACAATGTACTACTGCTACTGGTTTTCTAAGTTGCATTAGCGGATTTGTCTTGTTTAACTATTTGCGCATTTAAGCCTTAGAAAAGTAAACAATCTTAAGAATTATAAATAATATATGGTTTTCCGAGCAAAATAATTTCATGTCTAAGGTGGTGTCCTCCTAATTATAGTCTAAAAGCTCTTCATTCTTTTCTTTTCTTGTCCGGTTGTTTGGTTTTCCTGCGACGTATATTCCTTCATGTTTTCCTATAAAGACTGCAAAATCATGAAGAAACTTGTAGCGTGCAAAAGAATTAAGTTAAAACTGATAATATTTATTTGTTTTCTTCCCCCTCGTTTCTATGTAGTTGCTGTCAATCTTGAGTATAATCCTAACACAAGATCAAAAGAATGCCTCCTAGCAGAGCCTGAACTAATTGGGCTCTTTGCAAGGAGAGATCACAAAGCTATTTACCCCAAATTTTGCGGGGATAGATCAGAATGATATATGTACCTTGGTTTTCCTTAGGCAGAAGCTGGCTTGATTAGTATGTTCTCTTCGGGATCATAAAATCAACATGCATGTGGGATCATTGTACCTGGTATTCCTCTTCTAGAGGCTTGGCAAGCTGAGTGCATGGGAGCATCATATACTCATATCATCAAAGTCTTTAGAAGAAAGAAGAGTGGAGGTTGGAGTTGGGACTGAAGGTTATTAGCCTTACACCTCCCAAATATTAAGGTACTTCATTCATATTTTAAACTCCTTTTACAAAAGTTGTGAATTTTTAAGAAGGAAAATCATATCCATTCTCAAAGCAATGGATCTTTTGAAGTTTTCTGAGTGTATGCGACATGTATATATATATATATATATGAGTGCCTGCACACATGTGTATATGAGATAGAGAGAGAATCAGGGAGATGGAGATGAGCTTGCTTAAGGCCTACGTGAAAATATTGAGTGGATGAGTAATAGTACCTTATACCTAAATAACTTTGTATTTCCAAGGTATCCGTTAGATTCTATATTTTCATATGTTTTCCACAGCATTGCTCGATCGATCGATCTGGTTGGACCTTTAATAACAGCACATTACTTTGAACGCAATAAAAAAGCAGCAGCCTCGAGAACTAAATTGTGCTCCAAGAAATTCACTTCAATCCGATATATTGAGATCAATTATAGCATTATATAATAGAAAAGAAATTAATTAAAAATGATAAAACAGATGAGTTTGATTTGTAGTTAACTCGATATTATACCTTTGGGATCAGAGTTTAGCGGTACTAACTACAGATTAATTAACTACTATATTAGTGAGAGCTATATGTAATCTCTCTGTTGTCACTTTTATTTCGTTATGCATACGGGCGGGCACAACATTTTCCAAGTCAATTATTTTATAACAAGCATGCATTTCCCAGCTAAAAGCCTTCCTTTAATGATTTTATTTTTACGTCAAAACATGATCCTATTTTTCCTATTCCTATACATATGCCCTGCCCAGGTGATCATTCCCAGTCTCCCTCTCAGTGATCACTTGTTAATTCTTATAGACACGCATCATCAATCTCTGCTTAGATTTAATACGTAGGAAACTAAAATGTAAAATGTTGTGCTAATCGGCCTGAGTGAATGCTAATTGGACACATCTCTGTCTTAAGTTTGGCTATACTTTTCTGTGTTCTTGAAGGATTTTCTCTCTAAAAGCTGTTCTAGCAGTAACAGGTGCGCGTGGTTTGTGTTGTAATATCTTTTATCCCCTAGATTTTCTATGAATCATCATGGAATAAGCAGAACTGGATTTGTGTGCTTCATTGATTATTTTTCTCTTTTCCTGATTACTTCTGTTGTATGATTCTCATGTTATGTTTCTTGGATTTCTAACCTCAATCCCTATCAAGCAAGGGATTCTTCGTCGGATGAGATCAGAGCCAGTGAAGAGAAGAGGGAAGGCTGACTCTGCTAGGCTCTCTTTCCTGATTACTTGCTTTGTTTGTTTGTTGTGGCCGTAAATATGCATCTAAATTAAATCCTCATTTGATTTTCGTTGTTAACACGAAAGAAGACTACTAAATTCACTGCTATCGGATTGGTTAGCAAGAATGTGTAGCGGATTTACACTTGTTATGCATATAAATTTATAGTGTCCCCCAATAATCACGCATCATTTTGGCAAATTAGTAAAACTCTTTTGAAATTCATGTGTTTCTCTCCCACATCTTATTAAATTTGTTTATTTTGACATGCAGTATTGTGTACATGTGGTGTTCGACTTTGTCTCACCTGAAAATGTAATGAGTGCAACCAGTTGACTGATGAAGTCTGCTTCGAGAAGATCATGAAGCAAAAGTTGAAAAGCTAGAGGTGAACTTTCAATGATCCTAGAACCAATGTCTTATTTTCTCCATCATATGATTACAAAGTTGATCAGTGATTGAAAGTGCCAACCTTTGTCATGAAAAACAGGTGAAGATTTATAGTATTAGTTCAGCAATCAAAGAAATACGTGAGCTTACATGTGCAACGTAAGTGCCACTGCTGGGAAAGACATTTATCTCCTCCCTGCTTCCTCATAAAGAACTAAAAGACACCTTGGGAAACGAAACAGCACGTCAGAAGCAACCGGTCGCATATAGCTGGCGACCGGTCGCATATAGCTGGCGACCGGTCGCCAGAAGATTTTGCTCAAGGCTTCGATTCTGCCTGAAAAACGACTGGTCGCTTGTTTCGTGCGACCGGTCGCTTTTAGACAGAGTCTTCGGCGACCGGTCACTTGAATCTGGCGACCGGTCGCTTCCTGTTCTGTCTCTGAAGCTTGTATCCTTTATGCGAGCCAATTTTCACAACACTCTGTGCTTAAACAATTAGTAGTGCTTTAGCAAAGCATGTGAGAAAGTATTGTATATAGTGGCTATTCCTGGAAAATATAAGCATCAGTTTTGCTCACTGCTATATGTCGATTACTGCAGGGTTGTCTAAGCACCTGCCATGTTTCATTACAGGTAATGGTTAGATGATCACGGCTATATAGTTTCTAGTAGGGGTGGGCATTCAAACCGAGAAACTGGAAAATCGAGCCGAACTGGACCGAAAAAAAGGGGATAAACCTAATGTATACTGTATATATTCACATTAGCATTATAATTTTATTTTGTTTTACTGAACAAGTATTACTTTGCATTGCAATGATAAATATGAGTTTGGTTAGAGAGAAGGTTGCTAGCATTTCTCACTTTCTCCCCTCTTTGCTTGACATGTGTCATTCTCTCTATACTTAAAACAATGCCATTAATATATTATACATGCTAACTTTTGCTTTATGAGTTTACCCTTATTACATGTATTTAATTTATCCAAAAAAAATTCACAACTTTCTTACCATCTTATTAATCTTTTTTTAACGTAAATTATTTTTTTTAAGAAAATATGTGCTTTTTTTCTTAAAAGAGGAAATGTTCCTCTTTTTTTTTTAAATTTATTTATAAAACACAAAGGATTTAGATTTTTTTTTTAAAAAGTCTAAACTTGACGTTAAAAAAAGGGGACATTTCCGCTTTTTTTTATTTATAAAAAAACAGATATTTTCTTTATAAAAAAAAATAATAAGATGGTAAGAAAGTTGAGAATTTTTTTTGGATAAATTGAATACATGTAATAAGGGTAAACTTGGAAAGCAAAAGTCAGCTTGTATAATATATTCATGGCATTGTTTTAAGTGTAGAGAGAATGACACATGTCAAGCAAAGAGGAGAGAAGGTCCAAAGGAGAAGGTTAGAGAGAAGGTTGCTAGCATTTCTCTTAAAACATTGTAATTAAAAAGCAAGTTGGGTGTGCATTCATGATGTTGATGTCTTGGGCAGAGAAAATAAAACGGCTCTTTTCTTTTTCTTTTTTTATGAAACCTTTCTTACTTTTTGTTTGAGGTCCACACCTATTCTCTCACTTTCTCTGATCCCATGCCTATTTGTATTAAAATATTGTTATTAAAAAGCAAGTTGGGTGGCCATTCATGATTTGATGTCTTGGGCAGAGAGAAGAGAACGGCTCTTTTTTAAATTTTTAATGAAATCTTTCATACTTTTTGACGTCTCTTGTTTATCCCTCTCATTTCTCTGATTTCTTCTTTCTCTCTCATTCTTTCTTTCGTCTCTTCTTGCTCACCGGTTCTTTCTTCCTCTCTTTCTCCGATTTCTTTCTTTTCTCTACTCTCATGTCATTTATTCTCTCTTTCCTCTCTTCTTTCTCACTGGTTATTTCTTCATCTCTTTCTCTTATTATTTTTATTTTTATTTCTCACAAGATCTTAATTTCTTCTTCTCCTCTTTGTCCGATTTCTCTTTTTGTTTCTTACTCTCCTTTGGTGCATCATTGTTGGGTAGTTTTTTTTTTTGTTTGTATCTTTTAAGGTTCAGATATGGTTTTTCTTGTATGGATTCGGCGATTTGCTCCACTGCTTTGCCTAAAAATATCAGTTAGGCTAAGAGCCGGTCCAAAGCGTGAAAAATCGAAACCGAACCAGACTTAAACCGGCCCGGGTTGGTCCGGTTTTCTTTGGCATTTTAGTTAAAACCCGAATCGGACCAAATTGGATAAACAGTATTGATTTCGGTTTTGGTTTTGTCTGAGAACCGGACCGAACCGGATCGTGCCCAGGCCTAGTTTCTAGGAACATCTGGAAACCGCTTCAGCTAATGGAGATTCTACAGATGATTCATTTTTATTCTATTGTACAGAGAATTGTTTATTCTTAGTTCCTTTTGTTGCAGCCTCGACAGAGAATTGTTTAATTTCCAACAACAAATCACTTGTTCAAATCTACATCAAGGCATACTCAATTAACTAGGATTAAGTCTGGTTACGTCTTACATTGAGATCAAAACCCTAATCGTAAAACGCTAAATTGAGTTACGTGAGTATCCAAGCCTAATAGAGTAATAAGTGCCCTAATAGGCTTATGTTCGAGGCTTGAGAAAGGTTTTTGGAACAAGTTTGGAAGTTAGGGTTTTTGGTTCAAGACTTGGATTTCGGGTTTGGAGGCTAAAATCAATTTTTGGAATACTAAAATAGTTTTTACAATATTTTTATACTTAAACGAATTTTCCAGGATTTTTAAATAATAGAAACTATTAAAAAAAATACTTTTGGGAATTAAAAATAGTTTTTCAAGTCCATAAAAGAATTTAAAAGAATTAAATACGATTTATTAAGTAATTTCTAAAATTAATTAAAATATTTAAACTAATTATTCACTAAATAAATAA